AGGAGATAGTCAGGAGCTCTCTTGTTTTACTTGCCAAGACAGACAGGAGGTCTCTTCTTGCCGACTGAGGAGTAAGCCGAGCCCTCTTCTTTCTCGTGAAGTTGGAGGGTCTTGTTTGCTATTTTGAGGTGGGGCTCTCATCTTTCTCATTACATTGGAGGAGGCTCTCTGCTTGTCAAGGTTGAGGTAGAGAATTTATACGTTGTTTTTCAATCTCGGGGATCTCTGTCCATAACCACTAGGAGCGAACTCTCTTCGGTCTTCTTAAGATTAGGGTGAACACTTGCCAAGAAGTACAGGAGCTCTCTTCTAGAAAGCAGCTTTCTTCTCTTGCCAAGAGTAACTTGTGTCCTGGTCTTGTTTCAGAGGATGAGGTAGGGGGCCGCAGAAAGAACCAGACTTTTCCTGTCAAGGATAGAAGTTTGCAAGAGCTCTAGCCTTTCATCTTGATCGTAAACCGTCTTCCATGTTTGGAAGAAAAGGAGGAGATGACGCGACGTCTTCCATGTTTGGAAGAAAAGGAGGAGATGACGCGATGTTGTAAGATGCTGTCTGTAGTAACAGCCTAATGTAAAACCGAGGAGGAAGTCACATTATACGTAAAAGTTCCTGCCACATTTATATATATATATATAGATATAATATATATGAATATATAGATAGGAAAATATATATATAAGCAAAGTGGCTGATATCTGCGGGGCCGGGATATGTTGGATGCGCCTGGGTGCCCAAGGGCAAAGGCTTTGGTGGCCCCGGACTCGGACTATTCAGTCGGAGTTGGTAGTTAGAGTCGTAGAGACTGCGCTCAAAGGGAAGAGTAAAGATGGCAAAGATGGCAAAGGAAAAGCAGCGGGCTACCCACTCAGCTTCGCCTCGAGGCTTGCACAGGCTCGCACAGGCTTGCATAGCGGCCACAGACCAGGAGAGCCCGTACCATTTTCGGCCCCGCCGGCGAGAAGCTCAGCGCATCTCAGCGCTCGGTCATGCGGAACCCACCTGGCTGTGCCCACAGGCTGATGATGCGCAGGAGGCGGGCCAGGCGGACCAGGCGGGCCGGGCGGGGGGCGCAGCGGCAGGAGAGGCTTCGGCACATCGCCCAGTTGCCCAGGGAAATTCGCCGGAGGGCGGCTTGCTGGGGTCCGAGTGCTCTGGCCTCGGTCGGAGCAAAAAGCACCGAGTCTGCGACCGAGGGCCGACTTTCAACCGGCAAAGCCGCGGCTCCTGCAGATTGTGGACCCAAACAGCAGGGCCCCGAGGAGAGAGATCCGTTGCAGCGACGCTCATGAAGCTCCTCAAGGTGGAAAGCCGATCGACACCATGGGCATGAATTTTGCCCCGTGGGGACCTCGCAACAAGGGTAGTGCCAGTGAGCTTTCTTTCCTTCGAGGTACAGTTGTTCTCACGTGCTTGTCAGCTTCATTGTTTTTTTTTGGTCTTGCTGTTTCATATTGTTATTCATTTTGTTTGCTGCATTCTGCTCCTTTCCTTGATTCCGCGGTTCTTCTGGTACCACTCACGGTTTACTCTTCTTGCATTCCACGGCTTTTGTTGCTTTTTTGGTTTCAGCTTTTGGCTGTTGCCTTGGGCTGGGTTCGTTTCACAGTTTTGGTTGCTTGTCGCTTGCCGCCGCTTGACCACCTTCAGCTGTTGTTGCATTGGCGCGCATTGTGTTTGCAAGTGATGGATGGCGGCCTTTTTTGGGCCTACAAAGCTTGCTATGAAGAACCATGTCGTCGAAAGGAGGTGCTGCAATACCAAAGTGCATCGCTTCCAGACCGGTCATTGAAGCATGGCGGGGTTGGATGTGACCCCTTGCCTTTTTCGTGGCCTTGCGAACCCCAGGACCGGATTGCAGGGATGTAGTCAACTGCCATCGTCTTGGGCAGATTCATAAGATATGATCAACCGCTATCGCCTGATGAGGTGTGGGGGTGGGGCGGGGGGGTTATGTCATAAATTGCCATCGCTTAACGGGGGGCGGGGGCGCGTTTAAGAGATGTGATCAACTGCCATCGCCCGGTGATGGGGCAGGTTTATGCGAAGTATGATCCACGGCAATCGTCTCAATGTACTGGTGGGATTTGGAGGGCCGCACGGACGAGCGCCAGAGGCCGAATAGTGTGACCCTGCCAGGACTTTAGACTTTCGCGCATTTCGAAGACAAGACTTAGGCCAAAATGGTTATCGATAACCGGTAGCGTTTTCAATAAATTCGGCTTTTTCCTGCCACTGCATGGACTGCTGCAAGTAGCATTCTGTGGAAATAGCATGGCTTGAACCGAGAATGTGCACGCACCACATCGGGAGCTGCTGGGCAACAGCACAAGCACTAAATGAAGAGATCATCCTAAATGAATTCGCGAGCCGGTTATGAATGCAGGCGAAAGCCGTCGACGCCACTGCAGATCACCAATCCCAACACGGGAGAGGCACCCTTGGGCCATGTCTCACGAAACCTTCAGCCTGTTTTTGCTGATCTGCTTAGAGGCCGTCGCGATTGAGGCGAGCTGATCGGAAGAATTCGCTGTCTCTAGGTCCTTACTCTGGCAACAATAACCAAGCACGCATGCAAGACTTCTCACTTCAGAGAGGTACAAGACCTCCTCAGAGCAGTGCCTCAGCCAAGCCATTCATCGATCTTATTATCACGTATACAAGTCTACAAGTACCTAACCCATGGCACTGCTTGCTGCAGCACTTTCGGCAGAATGACATGCCGACAGAAGTTGCAGCCAAGCCCTGCAACTAACACTGGCCTGGCAGAATAAGTGGCTGTAAAGGCAGCTCCTCATAGTGATGCCAAGGTGCAGCGAACCCGCATGACTGTGGGCCATGTCCTCCCAGAGACGTGTACGAATAGCCTCGGATGCTTCCGCTGGGGCAAGTGTCCATCGATTCAGATTTTCCCAGCAAAGGCGAGCCAAAGAGGTAGGCAGCACGCAACGTGCCACCATACTGCCTTGAGAGCGTTGGTGACGCTGAAAACTTGAAGTTCAGCTCAAGTCTCACTTCAGCAGTTGCTCCAGGCCAAAGACAGAAAGACCATAGCAACACTGCTCAGAACCTGACGAAGCCCTGAAGCCCCATGCCGTGTCTAGGACCCAGGAATAGCGAGCAAGCAGCGCATAGGGGAGAAAGGCGGTTTGATGGTGCCATAAGCAGCGGAAGCCGCTGCGATGCACAACGTCGGCACCTCGTAAAGAGAAGCCACTGAACCTCCGAACAGTGCCGCCACCCAAGGATGAGACAATCTGGGCATGTCGGATGCTTATCCGGCGAATCCTGAAGGTCAAATTCTGTTTGAGGAGTTCGTTTCGCGGAGCAGGTCTGAGCAACGACTTTTGCTCCTTCAAGGTTCCCTTAGTGCAGAAATGTACTTGTGCGATCGGCTTCTTTGGTATTAAGTCTGTGGCTTGACCACTTCTCAAACATCGCTCTCCTTGGCTCAAGAGCTCGAAAGGGTTCTCCGATTCATCAGCTTCACTACGGGGCACACTCCTGCACCAGCACCAAGGACCATAGTCTCAGCCGGATGCACACAGCGTCGGCCGCACCTCCGCGTGTATGCGCAAGTCAAGCAACAAGCACAGGCAATACACAGCAGCGCTGGTCAGATTGTCACACGTTGGTCCCGAGCGCGTGCGCTTCAGATTGGAGGCCGCTTGCAGCCGAGCGCATGTAGTCTTTGTATTCGTCCTTAACTGTATCTCCGCGAGGTGTGGCAACGGGCCATGCCTGGTCCAGGTGTGGTTTTCGCGTTGTGCGGTCGTGGCTAGACGAAGGCTAGACGAAGGATAGGCGCAGGCTGAGTTTCAAGTCTCGGCCCGGAGAGCAGATGCTGTGAACCGCACAACGCGGGTTTGCGTGTCTCATTCTCCCTGGCAGCCATGAAGTGGGTGGCCAAGAAGACCGAGGGCGAAGACGAGCCCGGGCCCGCAAAGGCGCAAACCCTGCTCGCGCGAGTGCAGCGCCGCCGCGGCGGCAGGAGTAGACCGGTAGACCCCCCGCAAAAAGAGAGCAATGCGTTTTGCTGCGCGGTTTCAGGGGAAGGAAAGAAAGGAGGCCAAGGGAGGCCCCCGGCTCTTCGGCTCTCGCTTTTGGGCTGTTTGAAGCGCGTGAAGCGAGTGAAGCGCTGTTCTTGACTCAGCCTCGAAATGGACAGCCAAGACGGAGGAGGAGCCGAAGGCGGGCATGTCACAGAATGTTCACTGTTCCTTCACAGACTCAGACTCAGGGCAAGGGCGATCGAAAGGGCGA